ATCTCAAGATGAAGAGGACGAGGAAGTACAAGAAACTACAAGATATACTACTAAAGAAAAAAATAAAACAGAAAACGGAAGGAATAAGAGAAATTTGGTTAGAGTAGAAAAGCAAAATGAGCAAAGAAAAAGTGAAGACAAGAGCCAAAGAAGAGATCTTTCGCACTTAGCTTCAGAGATGTTGAGGACACGATTAGACAGTTTGATGGTAAAGATGATTATCCTGTAAGAAGATGGATTATGGATTTTGAAGAGATGGCGGAATTGACTGGATGGAATGATCTCCAGAAATTAATTTTTGCAAAAAAATGTTTGGGAGGATTGGCTAAACTATTTGTCCAGTCCGAAAATGGTATCAATACATGGGATAATAATAATCATTAATAGAAGAATTTGAGATCAAAAGCAGCAGTTCTCAAATACATAAGTTACGTATGCAAAGAAAAAAGAAAAGAGAAGAATCGGTTCAGGAATATGTACTCACAATGAGAGGAATTGATGGTAACAATATATAATTGATGGTATTCAGGATGATACAACTAATAAAATGATTTTTAATGGAGCTAAAGACTTTACGGAATTTAAAGAAAAAATTAAGTTGTATAACCAGATGAAAACAGCACAGGGATGCCAGAATCAAGATTATAAAAATAAAAAAGAATGGAAACGGGACGATGCTAGAAAATTTGAAAAATTGCGAATGAACAAGAATCAAAAAAATGAAAACTGTTTCAACTGTGGTCAGAGAGGTCATAAATCTCGTGACTGTCCAGAAAAAAATAAAGGTACCAAGTGTTTCAGTTGCAATAGATTTGGACATCTCTCGGCACAATGTCCCAGTCGACAAAGTAGCTCTAAATCTGTGTCAAATGTAAATACAATAGAAATAATCCCCAGGAACTGTGTTAAACTCCTAATTGATGATGTTGAAATTACAGCTCTTTTTGATACTTGTAGTGATATCAGTGTAATACGAAAGGATATCTATGATATCTACTTTTCAGATATACCAATTGATCAAGATATTGTACCTTTGAAAGGATTAGGCATTAACAAAGTAGAAACTTTAGGTTCATTAACTCGCACAGTTACTGTCAATGGCGAAGAATGCCTACTTAAGAGGCATATAATACCGACATACGTTTCGAATTTTAGAGCCATCGTCAGAAACGATTTATTAGCTCAAGCAAATGTAAGCATACGAGCTGATGGCATTATAGTGTATAAAAGGGAAGCCGGTAATTTTCTAATGGAAATATGCCTGGACGAAGATCCTTGGGAATTCAAATTGGATATCGATCATATAGAGTCAATAGAAAAGAGAAGCTGTTATAAAACTGATAGAGAATTATAAACCCATGAAAATTAAGGAAGCAAATATTGAAATATGGCTCATTTTGAAAAATGAAGAACCAATTTATCAAAGGCCCAGACGATTGGCAGCACCCGAAAAAGAAGAAGTAAAGAAGCAAATAGATGAATGGTTAAAAGAAAAAATATTCGCCCAAGTTCGTCAGATTTTAGTCCAATAGTTCTTGTTAAAAAGAAAGACGGGAAAACCCGAATATGTTGTGATTACCGCAAACTCAACAAAGTTGTTGTAAAGGATCGTTTTCCACTACCTATAATCGAAGATGTCTTGGATAGTTTACAAGGAGCTAAGATATTCAGCACTGTTGATTTAAAAAACGGATTTTTCATGTACCTATCGCAGAAAATAGCATTAAATATACTGCGTTCGTTACTCCGGATGGACAGTATGAATTCCTCAAATGCCCCTTTGGTCTATGTAACAGTCCATCGGTTTTCCAGAGATTTATTGCCCATATTTTAAGACCATTAACTACGAAGAATATTGCTGTATATTATATGGATGACATCATAATTCCAGGTAACAACGAAGATAAAGGCTTAGAAAGAATTAACATGGTTTTAGACTTAGCACGAGATTACGGGTTACAAATCAAAATAAAGAAATGTCAGTTCCTGAAGAAAGGGGTCGAATTTTTGGGATTTATTGTAGAGGATGGAAAGGTACAGCCATCAGAAGAAAAGAGCTTAGCTATCAGACAATATTCCGAACCTACAACTAAAAAGCAAACTCAGTCGTTTCTAGGACTCACAGGATACTTCAGAAAATTCATAGCCTCTTATGCAATAATCGCAAAACCTTTAAGTGATATACTGAGAGAAAACCAACCTTTTACATGGAAAGAAAGTCAGAGACAAGCTTTTCTTAGACTGAAAGATCTTCTTAGTGGTGAGCCGGTACTATATATCTATCGACCAGGTTTCGAAATAGAATTACATACAGATGCCAGTCAACACGGCTATGGCGCTTGTCTTTTACAAAAATCCGATGTCGACAGTACATTCACCCGATTTTCTTTATGAGTAAAAAAACGACAGCCCAAGAAGAAAAATATACAAGTTATGAGTTAGAAGTTCTGGCCATAATCCAAGCCGTTAAAAAATTTCGTATATATTTATTGGGTACCAAGTTTAAAATTGTAACAGATTGTTTAGCATTTCAAAAAACAATGGACAAAAAGGACCTAACTACGCGTGTCGCAAGATGGGCATTATTATTGGAAGAATATTCCTATGAAATAGAGCATAGAAAAGGAAGTCGTATGTCCCACGTAGATGCCCTTAGTCGGCATCCGATAGCAATGATTATACAGGAAACGATAGTAGAAGATAGTTTGATAAAACGAGTTAAGGCGGCTCAAGAAAAAGATAAACATTTAAATGCTGTAAATTAATTTTTTTTTGAAAAGGATAGAAGTTACGATGATTATTTTTTGAAAAAAGGAATTTTGTATAAATATAAGGACGGAAGAGAATTATTTGTAGCACCTGAAAAAATGGAAGAAGAGATTATTAGAAGATCTCATGAGTTAGGCCATTTTGGAGTAACAAAAACTAAAGAAATAGTCAAGAGAGAATTTTACATTAACAAGCTTTCTGAAAAGATTAAAGATTGTATTAGAAATTGCATACCTTGTATTTTAGGACAGAGGAAAGAAGGAAAGAAGGAGGGATTTCTTCATTCTATACCCAAAGATGGACCGTTACATACGTATCATAAATTTATAAATTTATAAATGTATTAATGTATTTGTATATTTTTATTTTCGGTATAAAACGATGGCTGACATAATAAAACTATTAAAAGTATATATAAGGTAGATGAATGCAATATCGCCAAGCTGGCGATATTATAAATTTAATATATATTATTTATATCATTCATCGACTCTCTCCTGGCTAAAATATTATTTATCGTCGCCTTCAGGAGAAAATTGCGTAACTCCATCTGACGAAATTTTACAGGAGATATAAAAAATATTTTTAAAGTCAAATTTTTAAACATTGTTATGTATTATTTGTATTGATTTAATAAAAAATAATATTTTTATATCTCCTGTAAAATTTCGTGAAGGTGGAGTTAAGCAATTTTCTCCTGAAGGCGACGTTATCTATATATTCAGCTCTGTTCCGTCTATTTTTTGACTTCAGCCTCCTTCTGACACTTCCATTTATTCTTATTCAGTGTAGTATGCATGGTTTTCAGAAAATCAAGTGTTATACCTATCTGATGATGATGATGGGTCCTGCAAAGTTCATATCCAGTACACCTGCTTATCTGACATCTATCTCGATGTCAATCTTGATTGATTAATTATTATTTTCCATTTATATGGCTTATACCGGACCTATATGTACTCTAGTAGCTGACAGTGTTGCCGTCAGTTGCCGCCACATATTCATTAATGACATACGTTTTATTAAATTCATCGTGTTACATATTTGTTGACATAAAGAGATATAAATTTAAAGTGGGATCTTTTATTACTTCGAATGAAAAATGGATAATGTAAGTTTCCTAACCTAAAAAAAATCGTGATTATATGTCAAACAATATTGAGTTGGGCCTTAACGTTACAAATTATGTTGCTTTTAAAATGCAGGAGTAACTATTGATTCTGCTCACGCAAAATAATACGTTACTCTTGAAGATAATAGGAGTTTGGAACAGATTATGTTGTTTCTTATGCAAAAAGATTCTGTTTGAGCAAAAATTCACTTTATTATTAAGTATAACAGATCTGAATTCAATTAAAAGTTGTTTAAGGCAGTTTGGTTATAAAAATTAGGTTTTTTTAATAGTACAAATTCAGTGCTTTTCAATTATACCTTTATAATATTTTTTATTAATGTCCTGCTAGCTTAATAAATCATGCGTTTTCATGTAAACGACACATAGTACAAAACATTGATTGGTGGTTAAAATGTGTAAAAATTTAGTACTTTTTAATTCTACTTTGTTTTATTTTAATTTTATTTTTTTAATGTGGTCCTGTCAAGCTTAATATTAATCTAGTAGCACCACGTTTTTTTTTTATTTGAAAACAGCACATGGTATACAAAATTTTTATTGGTGGTACCAATTAGTACAAAATGCGTACCTACTAAATATTGTAATAGATCTAAATCGATTCTGCCTAGTTTGTACTGCCAGCTCAAGAGAGGTTTATTATTGGAAAATCCTGTAATAAAAGTAGGTACTTTTTACCTAAAGAACTAATACTTTCTATAAAATGACCAATTTGTAATTTCAACACACTGTATATCAAAAACTGGTCCTAATAATTGTACCCAAGGACACTATTGCTCAGGAAGTCGAATATAAACATTTTAAAATAATTATCCGAGTACCATTTCTTCATAAGAAAAATGCTGGATTCCTACCCAGTTTGCAAACAAATTAAACTAACTGTAACCAATTTTTAGGATTTTTAAATTAGGTTCATAAATTTTTGCCTTTGCCACCTTGTGAAAAAAGTTCTACCGGCACCCATGGCTCTCAGCTGTAGAGCGTTGTCGGTAGAATATCAAAACACACTTTGTAAATTTTCTTATGAACGTAGAAATTTTTTTTTGTTAGTTTAATAATTGTTTCCACGATTAATGTTTTTATAGAATAAAACACTATAAATTATTAAATATTTATTAAAAAAAAAGATGCAAATAAATATTATAACTTTTGTTTTTATTTATTTCTTGTAAATAATTTCGCATACCGCGAATTTTTCAGAAATCTTCTCCCACAGGTTTAATAGTAATTTCATGAACCTACAAAAAAAAAATTATGTGTAAAAAGAGAAAATATACAAAACTTTTGTTTAAAATAATTGAAGTTGTTCAATTTTATGGAGTGAAATATGTATCATATTTGGGAGGTTGGATAAGCTTGCCAAGACCTGGTAGGATATTCATGGGGTATTTTCGCAATACGTGATTTCTCAACAGGGTTATAGGTTAAAAACTTCGCAAACTATAATTTTTTTACACATAAAAATAAATAAACTAAATAATTCAATCATTGGATTCTGTTGAACATTTAAGAAGCTTTATACCATTGGTAGTATACCAACTAAAACAAACATTATTCCTGTTTTATGCGAACTCCTACCCCCGACAAAAAGAAACCGCATACGAAATGTTTACCCCCGAGTCCCCAGTTAAGAAGTCTCCATTTGCAAATGAACCAATCGTGGAAGTGAGAATTTAAGATTAAAATCTTTACAATGATTTTTATGTATAGGTCATTCTCTGAATTTACACCCATATCGGATTAAGAAACAGATGCACGACTGAGCCGTCCTACAGGAAAATTTCGCATCAGGTAGTTGAGTAAAATAAGCGTAGTCCTCCGGTGGATAGAGGATGAATATATTTTAAGGAGGTCCTTTCGCCACCCCTTTCGCCACCAACATTAAATAAAAAATATTAGATTATGACTAAAATTTATTTTTTTTCTAATAGTTGAAGTCCTTATTTATCTAATGTTGAACTTTTAACTATACCTTACCGTGCAAATTTTTGAGAATTTTTTTTTAAAATGTGAGTATTCGTGCAGTGTCTTATGAGAAAATAAGACCTCAACAAGAATTCTCGAATTATATTATTATTTATTGATTAGATGGAGTAGAAAAAAAACTAAAAATAGGATTTTTGAAATATTTAGGTTCTATTTTTTACAATAAAATATATAGATTACCTTGGAATTTATTGAGAAATTAATATTAAAAAAAAATTTGAAGTAACCTAGTTGAAAATTTTTTGTGATTTTTTAATATTAATTTCTCAATAAATTCCACGGTAACCTATATATTTTATTGTAAAAAACAAAACCTAAATATTTCAAAAACCTTATTTTTAGTTTTTTTCTACTCCATCTAATCAATAAATAATAGTAAAATTAATTATAATTCGAAAAAAATTCTTAAAAATTTGCACGGTAAGGTATAGTTAAAAGTTCACTATTGGATAAATAAGGACTTCTACTATTAGAAAAAAATTAATTTTAGTCATAATCTAATATTTTTTATTTAACATTGGTGACGAAAGGACCTCCTTAATTATTAAATACTTATATAGTATGTAATTATGTTTATTAAAATTAAATTACTAAAGTAATACACGAAAAAATAAAAATATTTATAATTTTGTTTTGGACATTGTTTATGGTAATACCATTTTCCCCGAATACAATAAACGTTTATGGTCAGGAATTTCCGGAAGTGAATTATGACTTGATATCTTGGAATCATTTGAATGTTAAAAAATATAATTTTTGTATTGAATTACGTTACCAATTGAGAGAAAATTTTTTCAAAAATAAGGCAATCCTAAAGTTTTTTTAATACAAAAATATTTTTTTAAATTTGCAATAAAAAATGAATGAATATAAGAACTTTTTTTTGACAAATCTAGTTTTTTTAACTATTTTATATAATTTAATTCCAAATCAAAAAACACTAAAACTGAATATTTTGATTTTTTTCACTTTTCAAAGCTACGAATTTTTGAATTGAAAAAAATAATCCTGGGATAGATTTTTTAGGAAATTTTATGCCCTACAAGAATCCAAAGTTATGGTATTACTGAGACCCTTCCTATGGGGCCTCAGTATTGCATTCGTGCAGACGAAAAAATTTTCTGACCCCTATTTTTTAAAACTTTTTTTATGTTTCTGATCATTCTGAATCCGAAAATAAAAAAAAAAATTTTTCGTCTGGTCGTCTGTATGTATGTATGCCGGCACGATAACTCTAGAATAAAAGTTCTGATTGACTTGCGGTTTTGATTTTCTTGAATAATTACTTCTAACTTAGAACCCTATTGATTTTCAGAAATTTCGGTTCATCCTAACTACTTTAATAACAATTTTCTTAAAATCCGCCTATGCATTCTTTATGTGAACAATTTAAGGAATTTCAATTATTTCTAACGTCAAAATTCCTAACATTCTTCACATTCTATAAATTGCAAACATTCTCTAACGATTTGTCATGAGACATGAGACATGAGATCAGACCACTTAACCAAGAGGTACTCTTTTAATACTCCCTTTGAGGTTTTAATACAGGAAAGAGCGGAGATCACCATAAGGGAGCCCAATGCCCAACGACAGGAGCAAACCTGGTATACAGACGGGTCTAAGACTGCGAAAGGCACTGGGGCAGGAGTATTCTCCAAAAACCCTGATACTAACCATAGCTATGCTATTCGCTCCGTGCGCGACAGCAGCGCCAATTTGTTTTGGTATTAAAGGAGTATTTCTGCCTATACTGACAAATACAATTTTTAATAGAATTCGTAAATAAAAAGTATATATGTTAGTTTTAATAAAAGTATATGGATTTATAAAACAATTAAAACATTAATTTATTATTATTATATATTTTTCACGCTTAAATTGAAGAAAATTATGTATAATCATTAAAAATCAATAATAAAATATAGGCAGGCAACAGTATTTACTGGAAAATGTATGAGAAGTTGCCTAAGTCTAATAAGTTGTCATTGAAGAAACCATTTATAATAGCGTGAAGTTAAAATGTATAAAAAGGATCGCTACTTATATTTTCATTTTTGTTCTAAAGAAAACATAGAATAAATGATTAAAACTGGTTTCCGATCAGTAAGTCACAAAATTGCATACCAGCCAAATATTATAATCAACGGCAGAAATCTTGAAATCTAGTCCTTGCTGAATGAACATTTAAGAATAAAGGGATATTAAAGAACATCGTAAAATGATAACTTATTGTTTATTTAAAAACTTTCTAGTTTCTGATGTCTACTATTTCCAGCATTACTGTTATTATCACAAAAATAAAGGTAATTTTTCTTCTTATTGTAAACCTATCCATTTATTTCTTTGATTTAATTTCCACTTTGTTAGTGAAATTTGTTATATAAGTTTCACTGTTTTTTTTTGTTAGTATTTGTACAATTTTCAACACAGCAACTCCGGTTGCTTATTGTGTTGTTTTTGCCTACTTTTTTGAAAAAAAGTAAAATGTATACGTGTATTTGATATGCCAAAATTACAAAATATCGCCCTAAAATGAACAAATTATCCGCAGCTAGCGCTAGTATCGCTTTTGCTTCCCTTTCCATGACTTCGCACGTAGCGAATAGGAATACATTCCTCGGTATTTCAGGCCAAGGTATATGCAATTTTGCAATGTGCAAAAACGAACAATGAAAGAGTTGTCGAAAATCAGCATATTGAAATAATGTCAGACAGCCAAGCGGCACTTAAGGCCATATCGAGTCAGAAAGTTACGTCGAGGCTGGTATGGGAATGCATCGAAAAACTAAGAACACTGGCAGACCGAAATAGAGTAAAACTATTTTGGGTGCCAGGTCACAAAGGGACCGAAGGCAACGAAAAGGCTGACGAACTTGCAAAAAGAGGGTCAGAAGAAACACAGGAACCAGACACAAACCCAGGAGTACCAAAAAGTACAGTCCGGGGTTTTATAAATGACTGGATTCGGGAACAACATATCAACTATTGGGAAAGCACCCCAAAACAGACACATGGAAAAGCCTTTATAGGCAGACCATGTCCCAAAAGAACTGGAGAACTACTCTTAATAGGAACCAGTTGAAAGTGATAACAGGGTTCATGACTGGGCACGCCCCAGTAAAGGGACACTTGAACAAAACTGGCATGTACAATTGGGAACTCATGTGCCGACTATGTCACAAGAAACCAGAAGCGGCCAAACACATACTGTGCGAATGCGAAGCTCTAGATCGCAAAAGACAGGCTCTTTTTGGACAACCCCAGGTTGATCCAACAACGTATATAACCCACTCACCCAAGGATCTGTACAAACTTGTACAAGGTACAAAGGCTTCAGTGTTATTCGGAGACACATAGTCAGACGAGCCCAGGAGAGAAAAAAAAAAACGATTTGTCAAACAACAGCTGTTAATAGTAAAGGTGAAATTTCTAAGGCGGGTTGCGACCTTCATACTTGCAACCATATAGCCATTTTGGAGGTTATTTTCATTCGACATTAGTCGCCAAGCCTGCCAATGTATGAAAAATTGTAAGCAGTTTCTTAAAAATGACTTTTTATGGTGGTGCTATTAAGCGTACTACTATTTCGCCCCTAGCCACAAAAACACCTTCATCAAATTTCTCTGTCGCAACCCCATAGAATAATTAACCGGCCATTTTATTTGGCAGAAATCAAAATAATGCTTGGCTGTGCCTGTCAAGTATCAAGATGTTAACTGTGATATCAAAGTATATTAACCGTTGAGTAGCGACAGCTGGGAAACCGAATTCTAGTGCGCCGACGCGAAATAGAGAGGCGAGACGTCTTCTAAAGATGTAAACAACCCCTTTCACTTTAGTCCGGAAGCTGATATAGGAATTCGTTGTTGTGGATTTATTAGTGCTCTTTTATTGTGTTTTTGTTAAGATTTTTTGGGGTTTTGTGGGTTTTTCGTTATGTCAGGAAATGCATGTGCTATAAGTGATATATATTTTTATATTTACTACATAAGGTAAATACACATAAATATAAAACTGCCTAATGACCAAACTTTTATTATAAATGTAAACTACAAAAGAGTTTTACTTCAAATTACGTCGAGCAGTGTAAACATCACATTCAAGACCAGTTCATAATTCGAGCAGTGTTTTACTGTGTCGTTCCGTCAATAACGTCAAAAGAGAGAGAAAGAAAATTTACACCACCCAAGATCAAAGGCACCTACACTTTATGTCGCTACTCAACGGTTAATATACTTTAGTGATACATGAATGGCTCTTAAATGTCAAATTATTTAAAAATGTATACTTCTTTTGATATTTATTGAAAATAATAGATATCTCAATTCAGGCTTTCCATTAATAAAAGTACAGCAAGACAGATAATATAATGTTCTTATACAAAGCACTTTTTTATTATATAAAAGAGAGGTAGGATATAATGCCCATTTCAAATTTGGATCATTTATGATACCAAGGATTTTGTTGTGTTTTTCATTTTAATTATAAAGTTGTTATTTATTTGTATGTTGAAAGAATGCCTTTGTAAATTACATTGCTCTCTATGGATCTACTTTAACACAAAAATAGTTTTGTGGCTATAAGTTGCTATAACCTATCGTCACAAAACTATTAATAATTTAAACATAGTAAGTGGTATTAATATAACATCAAGTAATTTTTTAAACAACAAGTAATTTTTTAAAATAAAGTACATGATCTCAAAACAAAAACGAGGGGTAAAATAACAATAAATTAAGGGAAATACTTAAAATGGGCAGGTTTAAAGAGTATAATCAGTAGTAATACTATAAGTACTTCAAAATAATCAGGTTATACATCGATAACTTGTTGCATAATTATAAAGAGTGTCAAACTGACACGATTTGTAATTATGCAGGAAGTTTGAGATGTATAACCGTATTTATTTTGAAGTACGTATTGTATTTGATACGATTATTTTTTGAGTAAATTAAGTAAATATCAACAATTTAATAATTTAAATACATATTGGTACAATGAAAATTACAATTATTAATTATTGATAAACGTCAAAATTTGACGGTCCTGTTAGTTAGTGTATTGTTGTCGATGTGGTTACTACGGAAATGAAATTATTGTAAATATTTTTGATTGGTGGAGCTACTCTATGTATAATCAGGTATTATCGAAATTATACGAGGTAACTTAACTAAATTGAACGTTCTAATTGGTTAAAAGTTATACGAAAAAAATAATCACAAGAAAGTACGAGTATATCCGTTCTGTTTATTTATCAAGTATTGTTTGAGGTTACTTTTGAATACATTTATTGTTTTTTTTTTTAATTTCTGTAGGAAGTCTATTAAATTTTTTAAACCTTTAATCAAAATTATATTTTGGGAACTTTTAGTGATGGCTTGCCGTAATGAAAGTCAGATTGGCTTCTTGTATTATAGTTGTGATATTGCGAATTATATTGAATTTTTTCTAATAGATCTGATGCGATGGTACTGTCATTTTTATTTTATAAATAAATATCAGTCATGTACTGAACATAATTCTGAACTGAAAGCCAATTTATTTCTTTTGACATAGTTGCAATACTCATCCTTCTGTCCTTTATTAATAGAATATAAATAGGCGAAGTAAGAAGCCCAAATATTTTACATGAGCAGGCTTAAGAGGTAAAGAGGCCAATTATTATTGGATAAATTGCTGAAACTAGTTTTTAAACCCTAATCAAAAGGCGATATAGAATGGTTTTAAAAATCAAGGCTTGTGAAAATCATCACAGTAATGCCAATGCTTCACAAACCAAAAAATTCAACGTGCTGCTACTACTACTGGCTTTCTATATTTCGTTCCAAGTTAAATCATTTCTCGTTTTTGTTACGCTACGAGTTTACCCTTGTGGGCCTCAGTCTCGATAAGGTGGGAACCACCATTTTAGCGTCTTTCGAATTTTTAATGAAAAAAGATTTTTTTACATGTTATTTGAATGGGAAACTTTGAATGCTCACCGACACCTTTTAAAATTGAGCAAAAAATCCTGCCTTGCAGGGAAATTTTTTTCTCGGTATATAGGTTATTCTATAATTTCGATAGGTTAGTTATTTGGCTTACCTCAATGCATATGTAAGTTATAGGATAAATAAAATAATAAATCTATTTTACTCCCTGTAAATATCGGACAATGCGAAGGCAAAAATCGATGAGCTAAAACTACACGACTTCTTACTAGCTTGGATTTAGCAAGTTGGGATAATTGGAAATACGTTTTTCTTAGTCTTGTTTGGACTGCCTTCATCAGTTCACTTTAAATCCGGATGATTAAACTATCTAGAGTTTGCAGATCTTTTATAAGGCGCGAAAATCGATCATTGAATAGCACACTAATATCTCGATCGGTTTCAAGCTGGTGAGCTGGTTATGTTGAAAATAAAATGCTCTTAGTCGTAAGAGTTGGATTTCTATTTCTCTTCACTCGCATGGAACATATAGCGAACACACTTGTTCGATAACTTTTGATTGAATTTATTTTGAAAACTGATTTCATTTAGAGAGAAAATTTATATTAATCGTCAACTTTTCAAGTTAAAAATGGTCGTTGACGGTTTAAGTCATAGTGTGAAAGTCGAAGGTATGATGAACTTTCATAAATGCAGATATAACAAAGATTAGAAGCTGAACCCAGAAAAGTCGATGCCAGTTTTTCGGCTCCATAAGAAATTTCGAAGGTAATGATGAAATACTAGGGCTATTATTTTTCTGCTGAGCATATCTAGTAGGCGATGAAATTTTTGCAACAAAGTTTCTCTGAAATATCAATGAAGTTGTTTACAAGTTTAATTAGTGTCTGTTGTCAAATATACCTAATTTGTAAGGACATAATTTTAAAGTAATACTTTTGTTAAAAAATGATGGAAATGAATAAGAAGCATTATGGGGCTGTAATTTTTTATAATTTTAAAAGTGACTTAAATTATAAAGAATTTTTTAAGCAAACTAGTCGCGAGCTGGATGACAAGTCATGTTTCTTCGCTACCGAAAAACGGTGGTACAATGAATTTCAACGTGGTCGCCGTTTCTTAAATGACGGTTTTCTAGCTCCTAAGCCAAAAATGGTAATAACAAGCCAAATATTGATCTTATTTGGAAAATGATTAAAGAGGACAGGTACGTTACTGTCAGAAACATTCAAAGAACTTTAAAGATTGGTGTGAAAGCAATTAACACTATTTTGCACAAACATTTAAGAGTCCGTAAGCTTTGTTCTCGGTGGGTTCTCCATAACTTGACTTTGGCTCAAAAAGAAGACAGTGTGAGATGGTGTAGATCTACACACTAGATCTATTTGACCGTGGATCGTCTAATTTGGTGTGTAACACCATAACTGGTAATGAAACCAAGTATATTGCTCAGATTCAAAAAAAAATTATCAATTTGGGTCATTGAGAATGAATCAGCTTCAACAGAAGTTGTTCATGAAAAAAGCCGAAACAAAAAGATTTTTGGCATTAACTGAGCATTTTTCCGCTGTATCACTGGAGGACAGACGTACTGTTGATTCAAAAGGGTACATTTTAGTTTGTTTGCCTCAAGTTCCCCAAAAGGTTCACGAGGAAGAATATTCCAGATAACGCTCTGGCTCACACTGCTGCTCGAACAAATGAGCATTTGACTTATTTCCTCGGGTAAAGGATAAATTAGGGGCGTTACGGTTTACATGTGGAAGAAGCGATTGGTGTCTTTAAAAATGAAATAAACTATGGCCAGAAGATTAAAGAAAATGTTTTCAAGAATGGTTTGCGGGGATAACAAAATGCATTGACTGTGACTGTGATTGGTGAATTTCATTTTTTTGCAATGTTCTCTCCACCTAGAATGAATATGAAATATATTCGTTCAGTTGAAGGCAATAGCATACGTTTTCGTTTTGTAATCTATGCGTAGATAAGCCAATAAGCATGTGGGCGTAGAAAAAAATTATTACCTGTACATGAGGTGGTGTAGAAAGTGCATATACAACTCCATCAGCTATATCCTCAGGGTTTAGCATACAATTCTTAACAAGATCAAATTGTTTTCTATCCATATTTTCAAAAATCTCAGTGTTTACAACACCTGGGCTAACACTCTGCAAATAAAAAAGTATTATTAAAACTTACTAAGTTAAGAGCTGGTTTTTAAGAGCGTATAGAACTCGTTCAAATGAACAACTTTTACAAATTCATTTTTTTCAGAATCTCACGATTCACGAATCATAATTGCTTGGTACGATTCTGTGAAATGTAGCAAACGATGTTTATTTGGAAATGTAGATAGAGGTAAAAAGAACTATTTATGTTAACAAAAAGTGTCCCCCAAAATGTTTGAAATTAAGATGGCGTTACTGTAGTAGAATGGCGCCGAAAGTTGTGAGAGTCGATAATTCACGTATTGGAATTTTCATCTTTCAATTCGGCACGTGTTGAGACGACTATCTTCGTTCCACAGAATATGATTCGTATGTAATGTCTCTCTCTATTTAATTCGTTACGTGTTGAGTACGCACATAAGAATCCCTGTCCTGATCACATAGTCACTCCAATGATGTATATAGTTTTACACCCATTTGTAAGTATTACACTTCAAAGTAAACTTTTTGATTGTTTTCCAATCTCTAGAAAAGCTGTAGTTATTTTAGTTGTTTATGTAGTTTTTTTTACAGAAAAAATATCTTCAAGCCTAATTAATTATCCCTTGTTTATACAAATCTCAATTGGTTGATAAATTTAGATATTTTAAAATTATTATTATTTTTGTAATTTAAATTAGTTTATAAATAGCTATTTATGTAAAATGCCTTATTTTATTAAACGAGTGAATATTTGTGGGACGAGCAGAGCGAGGTCCCGCAACATGAACGAGTTACACAAAACGGCATTTCGTGATAATACAATATTTTTTTAATTTTGATTAGATTGTTTATAAAATTTTGTTTTGGTAAATAATTTCTGACATACCGATCACCTAGTACTTGTTTAAAAATTTTTAATCAGAATCTAATCAATTATTTAAATTCATTAAAAAAACACGATATAAGCATTATAACAGGTGACATAAATATAGACTTATTAAACAGCAATGATGAAACAGTAGAAGAATACAAAAATATAATGACCTCTTTTGGATACATTTCATACATTAACGAATACACTCGTTTACCTAGTCGAACATGCTTGGATAATTTTTATGTATCTAATCGCAACACGCTTGAAGCTAAATCATATATTTTTAGATATAATATTACAGATCACTGTCCCATAGCCCTTACGTTGGAAATAGAACAAAACAGCATTAAGATAAAACATCAATTAAAGTACAAATATTACATAAATTATCCATTACTAAAAAATGCTTTAATATTGGAAAAATGGGAACAGGTATACAATGAAACGGAAGTTGATAATATAACTCTAAAATTTATTAATACTCTTAAATATCACATTAATCAAAATACACAAAAAGTAAAAATAAAACAAAAAATAAAAATATTACAAAATTGGATGAATCCTACATTAGTAAAATTAATTGATGAAAAAAATAAATTGTACAAATTAACCTTAAAACATCCCGATAATTTAGAAACAAAAAGGCAATACAACGTGCACAAAAATAATATAAATAAATTAGTTAAAAAAGCAAAAAAGGACTATTATAGAAAAATCATCCAAAAAAATCAAAATTCCTCCAAATCTTTGTGGGAGTGCATTAACAAGGTTTGCGGCAAAACGGCACCTGAAAAAACTATTGAAAAAATTAAATTAAATGGAACTGAAATTACTGACAAATTGAATATTGCAAATGAATTTAATAAATACTACTGTGAACTAGGCTTAAATTTAGCTGAAAAAATACCAAAAGTAACAAATTATACAGAAAATATAAATTGCTTAGAAAGTACTATGTTCCTTAGCCCTACTGATGAGGTTGAGGTCATTAATACAATTAAAGATTTGAAACTTAAGAAGTCACCAGGCCTCGATTGTATAAGGTCTGAAACCTTAAGGGAAATATCTAATGAGATTGCAAGTCCACTAACCTACTTAATAAATAAATGTTTTAGTACAGGCTCTTTTCCGAAAATTCTGAAAAATGGTCTAGTTAAACCACTTTATAAAAGTGGAAAAAAAACGGAAATGGTTAATTACAGGCCTGTATCACTGGTGTCAAATATTTCGAAAATAATAGAAAAAATAATAAAAATTAGACTTTGTTCCTTCTTAAAAAAATATAAAATTTTATCCAATCGGCAGTATGGCTTCAGAGAATCTAGGTCGACTGAAGATGCGATATATAAGTTAACTTCTCTTATTTATGATTCGCTTGATAATAATATTCCTGCTGTGTGTATCTTCCTAGATCTCTCTAAAGCATTTGATACCGTTTGCCACAAATCGTTATTAAATAAATTAGAAAAGTATGGTATAAGAGGAAATACCTACAAACTCATTGAAAGTTATTTATCAGATAGGGATCAAATAGTAGAAATCGATGGAGTAATGAGCACACCGCAAACAATTACTTACGGTGTACCTCAAGGAACCGTTCTTGGTCCACTTCTGTTCCTTTTATATATTAATAGTATGCTTTCCTTGAATATTCAGGGTGAGCTCATCAGTTTTGCAGATGACACTGTAGTATTTTATAATTCATCTAACTGGCAAGATCTGAAAAATAAAATAGAAAATGATTTTACTTTTATTACTAAATGGTTACAATTCAATAAATTAACGCTTAACTCTAGTAAAACAAACTACTTACCTTTTTCATCCTACCTAACTGGGTTACCTAACTTGGGGCCACTGAACATCGGGACGACTAACCACATTGTAGAAGCAGAAAAAGTAAAATACCTCGGTATTACAATTGATCGTCATATGAGATGGGATCTACAATGTAAGGAAATAGTAAAAAAAATAAGAGGTCATTTGCCAAAATTTAGGTATTTAAAGAAAATTCTTGAAGTTGAGGAATTAAAAGTCTTGTATTTCTCACTGGTTGAGTCACTGCTTTCTTATGGTATTTTAGGGTGGGGTGGAGTAAATGACTGTTTCTTAAATAGTGTTCATATTGTACAAAAATGGCTTTTAAGAATCATATTCCAAAAAAATATTTTATTTTCCTCAGATCAATTATATCTAGATGCCCAAGTAAAAGATGTACGACAAATTTTCGTTCAAAAAATATTGTTTTTTATATTTCAAAATAAAATAAAATTTGTACATCATGAACACTCTTATAATACTAGGAGATATGAAGGGATCGTTTTCCCACGAAGTGAAAAAACTATCGGGAAAAGAAATACTAACTATTTAGCCCCAAGAATTTACGTGCTGTTATCTAATGATATAAAAAACTCAAAAAGTTTTAATTTATATAAAAATCGAATTAAAAAATGGATTATGGAAACAGAGAGACGATTTTTTACCGAGATAGTAAATCAAACTCTACAGTGACAAAAGTAGCCATTTCAAGAATATGTGTCTGCAAGATTATGTGTCTGATGTTTTAATTTTAATTTTAACTTACCTCTATTTTGTCCTTATACCCCGAATGTGTCTTAAACTGGATTTGACAATATATTTTTTTTTTTCACTGGGTTTGACAAAAACCCTGTTTGTGTCGCCCAAAAAAGGCAAAACAAACTGTATTAAGGTCACAATACAAGTAGTTCTAAAAACTACTTCTGTGGCTTAACTTTGTTTATTCACCCTCTACTTAGTATGTATTATTTTAATGAGGTAGTTACTAAGTCTTTTTAATAATATGTTACTTGTATTTATCCTAACTTTTATGTATCTATCCTTATATTTATATTTACTATTGAATTAATGTACTGTACTGAATTGAATTGAATAAACATTATTATTATTTAGGCAAGCAATATTACTACTTTCTTGTATTGTTCATTCTTTTATTGACAAGTAGAAAATAATAATCGTTTGTTAACCACTTAGTGTAGTTTGTTTATATTGCTTGTTAAAGTTATTTAATTTTTAAGAAAGTGGGTTATTTTGTAGTGAATTGTGTTTTAAATATTTTGTGCTGATATGGAATGGAAAATAAGGAACAAAATTATATTATGCATAACCAGGTTGTCAACTTAACTAAATTCTATTTTTATAAGTTTCATATAAACTTTCAATGATCTATATATTGATTTTAAAACCAAAAAAGGTTTCTTTTCAATGGTTTTTTTTCGCAACATTATGCAACTGGTTGCTGAAAGTAGAATATTTATAAACTGCGATTTTAAAAAAATGTCACTTTATTTAATATGTAAAAATAAAAAAAACATATTTACTGGACCGTTTGCGAATAATGCTTTATGATAATTCTTCTTCTGCACTTTTCATGGTATTTTGCCTGAATTAGAAAAACTATGAGTTATATTGGGTTTTCTCTTCGAAAAGTGCACTATATAATGTCTTCTGTTTGCTGGTCTTTGTCGCATAATGTATTATTCGATAGCAATGAAAAGAATTAAAATATTAAATTTCGATAAGCGATGTGGCCATGTTACATTTTAAAATAACTACGAGTATGATATTGTCAGTCTTCCTATACCAAGTGACTTGACTTTTACAGCCACCCCGAGTTTAGATAAACGATACATATAAGCCTTAAATGGTAGTTATTTGATTAAAACTATGCCCTTTATTATTCATTTCGTAAGCAGGAGAAACAAATACCTACCGTAACTTTAATTTTTAATTTGAGACTATTTATTTCAAGTCTCAGAGTTTCAGTCAAAGCAGTTATGCCATACTTTGTAGCAGGATAAATATCTAGATTTGGTAGTTTGAATATGTAATGTCCCAAGATACTGTTTATATTTATTACGTGGCCGTCAATGTTATTTTTCCTCATAATGTGAATAGCTTCTTTTGAGGCTATACATGTTGCCATTAAGTTTACATCGATCGTTTTCCTCCAAGCTTCTACGTCTCCATCTGAAAACAAATAAAATATAAATAGATAGATTATATCGTCGGCGTTCTGGCAAAAGTCATTAAGTCCATTTTTGTCAATTTTTAGTTAAGTCCATAAACCGTGTTGAAATTTTCGCTCTTTTGAACTGGCAAAATTCATTACAATCGAATTAAATTACCGGTTTTGAGCTTACATTAAATTGTAATTAGATGAAACAAAATGGTTTCTATGTATTTTGAGGTGATATTTTCGAAAAAAGGCAAAACAAAATGTAGCAGTTTTTCGAAAGTGCCGAAATTTTGGATTTTGTCAATTTTTCAATTTTGCGCATGCGCAAGTCGCAAATAAATTAATATTTTTTAAAACGCAGTTTACGACATTTAAAAGCTTAGAAAAAATGTTAATTTTTATGTCTCCTAAGAAATTTTGATCCGATGCACCGTTCTCGCGGTATGGACGATTGAAATTTGTTTAGTATTTTGAGGCGGCGAAGGTCGAAAAATTGAATTTGTTAAATGTTCAAACACTAAATTCTTCATAACTTTGGTAAAAAATTAGATATTTGAAGAAACAAAAATTCGTTTTGAACTTAAGGGATGTGACTATTGATTCCCAGAAGAGGGCAAGATAAATCCCAAAATTGGACATATGGCGGAAGGGCAAAGTGTTCCGCAAGCCTAATTTCATTGTTTGCCTATAACGGCCAAACTATTCAAATATTTTTAATGCCACTTACAGAGCTTACTTTTAAATATGAAATCTTATACGTGTGTGAATTTTACCGAAATCGGATTATAATTGGCTAAGATATCAAACAATTTAACAAATTTTTTTCCCTAAAAAAAGCCTAATTTTTTTTTCGAAAGTTTGAAGTGGCACAAAAATGCCAAAAATGCACCCAATGACTCTAAACTTTTTTTTGAATACTCTATTATGTCTAGAATACGATTACATTACGGAAAATTCTGCAAAAATATTTTATCTATTTTTTGATCACGGTTCATTGAGTGACGACCAAAAAACACGGTTTTTGAGAAAAGTTGCCTAAAATTAACGATTTTCAGTTTTTTGGTCTGAAAATTGAGCAAACCCAAATCTCATGTCTTCTGAATAAGTATACAAAGTTTAAAGTGTGTATGTTTCTTATAAGTTGTAGAATTCTCCCGACAAAAGTCCCATTACACGCGCTCCGCGGGATCCAAAACTCGTGCATTTCTGTAATTTGATTTTTTTGTGATTTCCAGTTTTAAATTTCTTACATACCACATTTATTAGGCTTAAAATTTTAATAAATTGTATTTCACTGACTTGTTATAAGACGTTTCTTGAGTTTTGTGCAAAATTAGTCAGACGTCGTATCAATGATAGTCATGGTCTCGGCGTTTGCTATCCGACAAGTTTAAACTTCAAACGGTCATAATATTACAAATTGAATCACTTGATAGTGTTCATCGGCATAGATTTTTAATGACCGTGTTCAGCAATTTATTGAGTAAGTACGTTCTTAAATTAAGAAAATTCTATCACAGTGCTATAATTTTTTTGTTTCCAGGTTGCATTGGCTGGCCTGTGTTTATTATGTCATCAGAAACTTGCAGAGGGTGAACTTACCCCAATTAGACCGACATGATTGAAAGGTCTGCAGATGGTCAGCAAAGAGAGAGAGGATGATTTTTTCAGTTCTTTAGAACCAAGTTTTATAATGCATGAGAGGTGTCGCAAACATTACGTAGCTCGACGTTACGGAAAAGAGTTTATTTATAAAACCTGGGATAGGCATAAAAGGGCCGCGATTGACAATGCCAAAAAAAAAGGAGGATGGAGGAACAAAAAACAAGCTTATCACCAAGTTGGAACTTACACTCAAGCTTAGGATTAATTTCCTAACATTTTTAAAGTATACTTTTGTATATTTTTTTGTGCTCTTTCCGATGGCGCAGCTAGTTTCTTCAAATATATTTTTTGTTAGATGTTTTCGGAAAACCCGGAGAAAATCATATGGGAAAAAAATTAAAAAAAATTTACGCCTTCCGGTTTCCTGCGAATTCTCGAATAATTATGGCAGATTTCGCCGCGGGACTTATTTTATTTGAGAGCCCACAAAAAAATAGGCAACTTCTCTCATGGGCACATATGTCTAACATTTATAATTTCGCCACAAATTCATCGCAAATTTCATGTTCATGATTCTGATCAAAGAAACGAAAGAACAACTTTTTGGTAAAAGCACTTCTGGCGGCGAGAAATTTGCCATTAAAACTACCTGTGCAATAAAATTCCGAACTATTTTTGCCTCCTCTTTCGATTGGTGCATTTATTTTTACTATGAGAATGATACTTGTCCAGATAATTAGCATTTTTACCATGGAAAATTTCGGAAAACCCGGTTTTTCCTAATTTAAAAAAAATTGAAAAACTGCTACATCTTTTTTTTCTTTTTTCCGGAAAGATCACATCAAAATACACAAGGTCCTTTTTGTTTCATCCAATTACAAATTAACGTAAGCTCGAAGGGGCTTTTTTTCGTTATTTAATTGGACTAATACAACCATTCAGATGATTATCTTTCCATAAATGTCAGCGGGCGAGGTAGACCTTCCACATCAGCAATGAGCTTAACAAGGCTTATTCAGCAATGCTGCCTATTTCAATCCAAAAATATAACGACCTCAAGAAGTTGTGTACTAACGAAGTTATACCTCCAGAATTTCATCAATGGTATTTATCATTGCAAACGTCAACAACCGTTAAAAATCGAAATGCTGAACCAAGTGTAGACAGCGAAAGCGAGGAAGACTAAAAAGTTTTATTTGCTATTTTATGTTAAAATGTTAAAATCATTTTGAGATAAATTTCTTTCATTCGTAAATGGACGTTTTAATTTAAACAAGTATAACAGATATTTTAACTATACTGTTTTTGTATATTTTCTAATTTGGCAAAAATCACCAAGTCCATCAAATGCCGATTTCCAAGCGATAGGCACTTTTCGAAAGTTTTTTTTTAATATTCCTTCAAAAGTACTTCTCAGTCAAATATTATTATGACCTAAATATGATTCAGTTAAGCAAAATAAAATTTTCATCCAAAGTTGTAACTTTAAACCCTTTTTTCTCAAAACTCCAATTTTGGACTTAATGACTTTTGCCAGAACGCCGGTGATATTTTATTTTATGAATTAGTCATATTTCAGTTGGAATTATTTCCTTTTTGTAAAACTGCCTGCCTGGTTTTATTCCACCTAGTTTTTAAACTAGGTACCAAGATCTATCTTCGATTTTGCTTACTAAGTGAAGATGAATGGCGTTACTTTATGACTCTTTATCCTCACATAACCCTCCATCAATGAAGAATGACTGTTTCTTGCTTAAGAGTAATAAAAAGGACGAAACCGATCCTAGATTGACGTTCCCGATAGTAAGCAAAATCTAAGTTAGAGTATTAAAAATAATTTTTTGTGATATTAGTTTTATAATGGAGTTCGTTTATAATTTTTTATTTAATTTTATTTAGTTATCTATGTAATTTTCCATAAATTTGTAAATAAATCTAAGTTGTGTGTTTAAATGTGTAAATATGAAGCTAAAGTTATGCAAATTCTACTAAATACTACTGTAGAGCGACCAGCCGATAAAAAGAATCAACATATTCATTAAAAACAACCAGACGCGACGTTTGAAAATAAAACTAAGCCATTTCGCAACAAATAAGGTTAATTCAAACAAAATAATGATCCGTAATACTTATATCTAAATATCTATTTTAAAATGTGTTTTACTCGCCATAATGCTCATTACGGGGGCGATGAGATCCCAATGTTATTTTCAATAGCCTCATTAAGTAAATACATGGGTTGGAATTGTAGCAATCACAGTCATTAGTTTTGTTTGTATTTGTGATTATGACTGGCTTAAACTATGGTTAATCTTTTATAAAATATTGGGTTAATAATTTTTTACAGGTTAGAATGCTAATTGGATCAATTGGGCTATTCTTTAATTAACGAAAATCAATTGCATTTAGGTACTTACACATTTATTACATTCCAGTGAGCTACTTGCTAAATTATATACAAAAAATAATTGATGTTAAAATAACAAGAAATTTCTGTGGTATATATATTATAATACGATATAATATTTGAAACACTTGATTTATAATACTAATGTCAAAAAGCATCAAACTTCTGCTGTAAACACACTTCCCTGACTAGGTCATCACAGAGGTGGCGGACTGGGCAGAGGAAGAATACAATCCATTTGTCTATGATTGGCAAACTGCCAAAGACATTGTAGACGATGAAAAAAGCAGATGGGTAATATCCAGGTTCTCTCCATTTAATTCGCCAGGAACTGAGGGTATCTATACAGCCCTATTTCAGTGGGGTCTGAAAGAACTCACACCGCACCTGGTGTGTGTATATTCAGATCCTCGTGGGCTCTGATGTATATCCCGAAAAAATGGAGAAAGGTAAAAGTGGTATTTATACCCAAACCTGGAAGGATGGATTACACAGTCCCAAAAACATACCGACCAATTAGTCTGACATCGTTGTCCATGAAGATATTGGAAAGGTTATGCGAAAGGTACATAAGGGATGCAGTGATTACAATAACACCACTATGCCCAAACCAACATGCATACACCCTAGGCAGATCTATTGATTCAGCTCTTCATATAGTTTCTGGCCGGACAAAAAGGTCCGTCTTGGGTGTTTTTATAGACATAGAAGTTGCTTTTGATAAAACCACTGTCCCAAAGATAATACACTCACTAACCAACAGGAATGTTCCACAAATGGTTAGTGGGTGGATACACAACATGCTCTCAAAGCCAGCAGTGAACATAAATGTAGAAGATGTGAATATAAGAGGTTTGGTTGCGAGGGGACGTTTACAGGGAGGGGTGCTATCACCTGTACTGTGGAATATAGTCCTCGATACCCTCACAGCCGCCTCAATAATGACAGTCACTACATAATAGCATATGCAGATCATTTTTAAGAATATACTCTGCGAAA